CTATGAAGCAAGATACTAACTAAGGAGAAGAACCCTGAAGCCAAGAAGGCTGATGTCAGTGGCAAGGTTCAAAAGGTGACCCCAAGGCTTAAAAGCCGAAGAATGGGAAGCCCCATAGCAGCCAAAACCCCGCCCTAGTCCAGGGCATCAGCAGATACTCCCGATCTGCCATGTATTCCAGGAAGGCCATGTACAAGAGGAAATACTCAGCCACTAAATCTAGGATTGAAAAGAAAAACAAGGAGAAGGTTCTTGTGACTGTCACAAAACCAGTTGGTGGAAACAAGAATGGTGGTACCCGGGTGTTTAAACTGCGCAAAATGCCTAGGTATTATCCTACTGAAGATGTGTCTCGAAAGTTGTTGAGCCACGGTAGAAACCCTTCTGTCAGCATGTGAGAAAGCCATGAGCTAGCATCACTCCTGGGACCATTCTGATCATCCTCACTGGACGCCACAGAGGCAAGAGAGTGGTTTTCCTGAAGCAGCTGAGCAGTGGCTTGCTACTTGTAACTGGACCTCTGGTTCTCAATCGAGTTCCACTGCGTAGAACACACCAGAAATTTGTCATTGCCACCTCCATGAAAGTAGATATTAGCAAAGTAAAAATCTCAAAGCACCTTACCAATGCTTGCTTCAAGAAAAGGAGACTGTAGAAGCCCAGACACCAGGAAGGTGAGATCTTCAACACAGTGGAGCGATATGAGATTTCAGAGCAGCGCAAGATTGATCAGAAAGCTGTTGATCAAAAATTAAAGCCGTTCCTCAGCTCCAGGGCTACCTGCAATCCATGTTTGCCCTTACAAATGGAGTTTATCTTCACATATTGGTGTTTTAAATTTTTTTGCCAAGAATCTAATTAAATAACTGATCATATAAAAATAAGGTTAAAAAAAAAAAGAATTAAGGAACCAGCAGTTAGCATAATGGCTATGCCGCTGGATTCCCACGTAGTTGACCGCGGTTTGAATCCTGGACCCGGTGGCTTAAAACTCACGCCGGGTGTGTGTGCATGTGTGCCCAAGATCCCAAGAGGAGAATGGAGGAGAAGGGATTGCGGCGTGGCCATCCTCTCGGGGGGTGATTTCTCACTTTCTGTCTCTCTGTCTCTCTCTATCTGTCTGGCAAGCACACACACCCTATAGCAAAAACCTCTTAAAAAAAAAAAAAGAATTAACAGTTAATCAAGGTCAGCAGGTGGCATGGTGGTTAAGGTGATGGACTCCCACATGATTGACCATGGTTCAAGTCCCAGACCTGCAGCTTGAAAATCATGCTAGGTATGTGTGTGTGAGTGTCCAAAATCCCAGGAGGAAATGGAAGAGAAGGGATTATGGCATACCATCTCCCCTGGGGGGTGATCTCTCACTTTCCCTCTCACTGTTTCTTTCTCTCTCTGGCGTGTACATGCACTCGATGGCACAAACCTAAAAACAAACAAATAAAAACAGTTCATTGGAGCCAACTCCCTGGCTCAGCATGGTGTGCTGCTCGAGAGAAGCTAAACTCCAGTCTCCAGGCCACCCAGCCTGTAACACACCAGACACACAAATGCGTGCCCAGGATCTGACAGGCTGGAGGACTGGAGGGAGGAAATCGCGGCATTTCCAGACGGTGGAGGGCATCCGCCTCTCTCTCTCATGCATGTGCTCTATCATTAATGTCAGTACCACTAATACTAATGATGTGCTCTATCATTAATAAAGAAAAAATATGATTGTCCTAATTGCCGTTTACTTTCATATGTATTTTATTTAATTCTCAACAAAACAGATATTTCTGCCTCCTCTTTGCACTGGATGAAATGACTCAAAAAAGTTGATTTATCCAAAGTTTCTAAGTGAATGCAGAATTCAAACCAAGACCTGACTCCAAAGCTCGTTGTTTGTTACAGCCCAAGTAATATTTATTAGTGACTATAGTAACCAGTTACCACTACTATTGACCTTGAAAATGTAAATGGTTACTTTTTCCAATGTTTACATAATAAAAGCTAACAATTACTGGGTCGTTAGAAAAGCCATGACATATTTTTTCTATGATTTTCTATGCAGAAATGCATTGTGACTTTTCCGATGACCCAATATTAAGTCACTGTGTGTTTTATAATGTATCGCTTAATTTCCTTCTCACAACACTGTTATAAAGCACCATGTCTACTTAGGCTGATGTAGGCTTTGGTAGTAAGGCACTCCTAACTCTCAGTGCCTTCTAATAATAAATATGTAATTCTCATTCACTTTTCAACTTTGGTGCTTTTCACTGGGTCTTTTGCTGAACAATAGTCCCCACCTGGGATGTTGCTGGAATTGCAGCAAGGGGCCTGATAGCAATATAGATTATGTCCACTTTCATTCTGTAACTCAGTCACCTGAGTGCCAATCCTGATACCAACATGGGGGGCCGGGATTCTCTCACAGAGAGAGGCAGAAAATATTTGGGAACGATAATATAATCTACCACAGTTAGTATCCTCATTTTATAGATAAAGTGACTAAGACATAGAGAGGGTAAGGAAATTACTCATATTCCTGAAACCTGTAAGTAGAGGCTGAACATATCCTGCCCTGTCTCAGTCCACTATTATGGTGCTAACAGAAATATCTGAGACTGGATGATTTATAAAAAATAAAAAAATAAAAAGAGAGACGTTTAGTTGATGTATGACTGTGGTGACTGGCCCAAAGGCATGGGGCTGGCATCCGGCCAACTACACTACAGCTACAACATGGCCACCAGAAGTAGAGATGACAGATACGTGCTAAGAGAGTTACCTGGGGGCAGCCATCTTCCTTTTATAACAACCTGCTCCCAGGGAAACTAACCCCTTCTCACAAGAATTAGAACTTACCTGGTCTCAGGAGACATCATCAATCTACTTGTGAGGGTGGAATGCCTCTGTGATCCAATCAATGCCCACTCAGCATCAGCTCTTAAAAGTCTCACCACCTCTCAATGCCATTATGTTAGGGACTAAATTCCTACACATGAACCTTCGGAGGACAAACTGTATTCAAAATATCACATGACCCCAAAAAGACTATGGGTCTCCTAGTATAACACAAGCTCATTGGTTATTTAGGAATTATTACTGTACTTCTATTTATATTTTACTGAGAGACTTTATTCTGTACTACATTTTGTTGGTTTTTCACAAGGCAAACATGATTGGAATGTAGTATTTCTATAATAATTTTTCAGGATGAAGAAACCTTAAAAGGAAAATTACAGTATTTTCTATTGCTAGATGGTAAAACTAGTTGCCATATTTTTCTTTTGTGTCATAAATTTGGTATGTGATCCCCAAAAACATTTTCCTGAGGACTTCAGTTTTATATCTAGATTTAAAACAATTCAGTTTAACAGAGCATAGCACAGTCCTAAGAGATGTACACATGACGGAGAAGGGGATATGATCTCAGACAAGAATTTTGACATCTCTAGGCTTCAGAATCTCACAGACAGGATGAGGGTTAGTAATAAGAACCTTATTTGGGTGGTTGTTAGGTTTAAATGATGTATTTTACATCTCTAATAAAGTTCCTGGAATTTTATGCATGCAAAATTAATATAGGTTACTATTTAGTTTTTTAGTGGTCTAGATTCCCTCCCCAAAATTCCAATACATACTGTATGCAATAATTTAGTTACACAGTTTATATGATTTCTTCAGTCATGAACTAAACCTAAGTCTATTTCAATTTTCTTTACAGGTGCAGACGCAAACAGGACTGTTTATGAATTTATTAGTGACCAGAGAGAAAGGTTTCTGCTTGAGGTAGTAAAAATAATTTCTTTCTCTCGTGCACCAAAATAGAAGACTTCTTGCATAACATTGCCAAATATTTGCTTTGACATTTTATTTTCCATTATGTATTTGTCCCAAACAGATTGGCTGAACAGACTGGTTCATTTGTGTGTTCATTCATTTGAAAAGTACTTATTGATTGCTTACTATGTGCTAAGCAGTGAACAAAATGAAGCCTCTGGCCTCAGACAGCTTACATTTCAGTATTTCGGACAAGGTTCCATGTTTCCTGGAATCCCTCACGAAAATTAGAGGATGTCTAATTTTCACATTTTGCATTTTAATGCCCCCTAGATCCTACTTTATGTATTGCTTCCTGTGGCTGACTTGAATCTGTAAAAATTCCTTGCGATGAAATATACCCATGAGTATAATAGTTTTTGTTAAGTTTGGTGAGTCCTTCTAGCAAATTATCAAAACTGAGAGCATGTAGGGGAACCTCTTGAACCTGCAGCTGGTATCAAAAGTGAACACAGTCTTGAGAACTACGTCCTCAAATTTTGCAATTTGGCTAACTTTGGGTAACTTATCACAGTTTTCAAAAACTGGACTGGAATCATGGCATCTTTATTTTCTTTTAACTTTCTTCTTTTTTTTCTTGTGGCAGAATTAGGACCTGAAATACTTATTTTTTAAAAATATTATGAAGGTTGGGGCCAGCAGGTGGTGTGGTGGTTAAGAGTGCTGGATTCCCATGTAGCCGACTGCAGTTTGAGTCTCGGACCTAGAGGCTTGCTTTCTCATTTTCTCTCTTGTGCTCTCTCTCTCTCTCTCTCTCTCTCACTCTATCTCTCTCTCTGGTTAAATTAAAATAAAATAAATAAATGGATAAATAAAAGTTAAATAAAATAATCTAAAAAGTATTATGAAGGTTAGCCTTTTATAAATTTAATATTAACAACATTATGCCAATAAATTTGACAACATAAATGAAATGGACAGATTCCCTGAACAGTGCAAACTTTCCAGGCTTACTGAAGAAGAAATTAATAAACTGAATAGCTGTATGTCTCTTTCAGAGCTTGTAAATAAAAATCTTAAAAGTCTGTAAGGCCAACCTTATCCTTATATCAAAACCACAAAAAGGCATTAGAAGAAGAGATAATTAAAGATCTCTCATGAACATAAATGCAAACATTCTTAACAAAACTTAAAAATCAAAGCCAATAATACATAAAAATATAATACATCATGACCAATTGGGGTTTTTCTGAGAATGTAGAAGTGGTTTAACAATAGAAATAAATCATTTTTTTTTAGGGAAAGCAAGTGGAGGATAGGGCAGCTGGATCCCACATGATCAGCTGCATGGTTTGCATCCTGGACCTGGTGACTTGAAAAACACTTTGGCCACATGTGTGTGCGTCCCCAAAATCTTGAGAGGAGAGCAGAGAAGAAGGGATTGCAGCATGGCCCTCTATCTTGAGGAGGTCATTTCTCACTTTCCCTCTCTGTGGCAATTGCATGTGCCCTGTGGCAAAAAACTTTAAAAATAATAATAATAAAATTAAAACTTACCAGGCTGTATACTTTAACTATGTGGAGTTCATTACACATCAGCTAGACCTCAGTTAAGCCGGAGACAGAAAGACAGTAGTCTAACAACTACCCTTTTCTACTTATTAATTTCCCTTTCTGCTGGATTAGTGCCATCAACATACAAAATTCTGCTATTATTTCATCTTTTTTTTTTTTGGAGAGGTTTTTCGCTATAGGGCGTGTGCGCTCGCCAGACAGACAGAGAGAGACATAGAGACAGAAAGCGAGAAATCACCCCCCAGGGGGGATGGTCACGCCGCAATCCCTTCTCCTCCATTCTCCTCTTGGGATCTTGGGCACGCATGCACACGCGCCCGGCGTGAGTTCTAAGCCACCGGGTCCGGGACACGAACCATGGTCGACTACGTGGGAGTCCAGCGACATAGCCATTACGCTAACTGCTGGTTCCCCTATTATTTCATCTTTAAAAACATGGCTAGCCAGTGGCATGGTTGTTAAGGTCACTGGATCCCACATGGCCAACTGAGCAGTTCCAGTCCAGGACCCAGCAGCTTGAGAACCATGCTGGTTGCATGTGTGTTTGTGCCCAAAGTCCTGAGAGAAAAATGAAGAAGATACTACGGTGTGATCACCCCCACTGGGCAATGATTTCTCACTCCCCTCCTCCCCCCCCCCTTTCTCTTTGCCTTTCTCCAGTGAGTGTGTGTGCCCTAGAGCAAATTAAAAACAAACAAACAAAAAAACATTAGATTCCATGTTCCTCACGGTCTTCTGCCCCAATCATCCATTTTCCTTTACAACAAAATTTTTCAAAAGAATTATTTGTATTTCTGCCTCTGCTTCTTTTCATGCGATTCTCTTCTAAGTTCACTTTAGTTGGGCTTTTGTCTTTATGATTCCACCAAAACTACTTCTGGCAAAGTCACCAGTGACCGCCCTGCTTCCGAATCAAATTTCACAGTCTTCCTGTTACTTGAGCTCTCCGTTACTTGAGCTCTCCGCAGCAGCCGGCCCATTTGACCACACCTTCTTCCTTGACACCCTTTCTTCACCTGGTTTCCAGGAGCCACCATCTTGGTTTTTCTCCCACATACCTTGGTGCTCACTCCTTCACAGTTTTATTCACTTGTTCTTCTTTTCCTCGCTCTCCAAGCGTTGGAGTTCCCCAGGGTTCAGTCATCACCCTGTGCTCCATCTGCTGTCTTCTAGGCTCATGGCTTTAAATTTCACCATCATCAACTTCAAAATTCCTCTCCCCAATTCCAGGCTCACAAGTGTAGCTGTAATTACTTTTTTTTTTTTTTTTTTGAGATTTTTCGTATGGTGCCTGTGCTCAGGGAAAGACACAAAGAGAGACAGAGGGAGGGAAAGTTTAAGAAATCACTCCCCAGGGGAGATGGCCACACCACAATCCCTTCTACTCCATTTTCATTTTGGGATTTGGGGCACACATGCACATGCACATGAACCCTGTGTGATTTTCAAGACTCTGGGTCCAGGACTGGAACCACAGTTGGCCATGTAGGAGTCCAGCACCTTAACTACCATGCCACCTGCTGGCCAATCACTGTAATTCTTACCATCTCTATTTAGATGTAAGCATTTGAGGCCTGATGTTTTCAACATGTTGTCCCTGCTCTATTCTTCCCTCTCCCTGTAAATCTGCATCTCGTGCAACGTTTTCTATCTCAGTAAATAGCACATCCATTTCTCTAGTTGTTCAGACCGAAAATATTGGAGTTACACTTGACTCCTTCTCACAGTCCTCATTTCAAATACGTTTTCAAATACCCTTGTACAAAATACATCCATAGTCAGACTACTCTTCACGATGTCCACCTGCCACTGCAGGCCAAGCCACCAAGACCTCAAGTGTGTACCGTTGCTATAACATCTAAAGACTGCTTTTGGCTTCGCCTTTTGCTTCCCCACTGTCAACCTATTCTCCACAGAGGAATGGGACCTTCCCCTTCCCTTATGAAGACTTTTGGTGACTTGGTCAGGTCCCCAGCCTTTTCTCTGCCTTCAGTCCTCTGTCTCCCCACTTTCTACTCTGCTCCAACCATGGTGGCCACCTGGCTGCCCCTGGGACATATAAATCTTTCACTTGTTTCACTGGAGGCTCTTCCTTCTAAAAGGAGCATTTGTCCCTCAATACCTCCATGGCTGGCTTTCTGCTTCCTTCTGTTTAATGTTCACCATATCAGGGACACTCTCTAGTATTCTCTGCATAACAGCAAACTCTGCCCTTGCCCACGGGCACCCTGTTTCCTTTTAATCAGGATCCCTATCTACTAGAATGGGTACTCCATAAAGCAATTGGGTTTGAGGCCAATGGGTGGCATAGTGGTTAAAGCACTGGACTCCCACATGGCCAACCACAGTTTGAATACCAGACCCGGTGACTTGGAACACACCAGGTGTAGTGCGTGCATGCCCTAAATCCCAAGAGGAGAAGGTATTGTGGTATGGCCACTCCCCTGGGAGGTGAGTTCTCACTTTGTCTTTCTGTGTCTCCCATGAGTACACGTGCCCTATAGCAAAAATCTCTCTCTCTCTCTAAAAAAAAAAAAAAAAAAAAGAAAAAAATTTAGGTTTATTTTGGTCACCACTCTATTTGCACCACTTAAGGTCATCCTGGCACTCAATAAATGCTTGGCAGAAAAAGTAATAAGTGAAGTCTTTTTTTATTACAAATTTGAAGGGTCTTGTATTTGTTTTTTAAATTACTTCCATAGTTTAATTCATTTGTATTATAGCATGGGTGGCTTTATTTGTTTAATTCATTTTTCCATGCATGGCATTAAAAACCCAAGTAGATTCTTATATTCTTCACGAAAAAGTCCAGAAGACAGATGTCTAAGTCATATTCAGGGATCTAAACAGGTTAAACACCACGTGCTTGGGTTAGCGTGGAGGATGTGTCACTGGCATGGTAGGGTTGAAATTGCTTTCTCCATAGTCTTTCCTATTGGAGAAGCGACTGGTAGCCTTTGTGACTGCAGACAGCCCAGCTTCCCAACGCCCAGAAAATACTAGGGGGCAGTATACTGTGGGCAATACCAAACGGCCCTGCTCTCTGGAGGGAAATGTAGCAATTTCTGCTTTTGAGGACACAGCCCTGCTGGAACAACACTGCGTCTCTTCATAAAAGAAAGAGGAATTAGTCCCTCTTCTAACTTTCCCTCCAAATCGAATTTCTTCATGAAATAAAGGTGAAAGGCTCCCTTCATGGGCAGACTGTTATTTCTAGTACAAATGACCACTTACTATGCTAGCTACTTTCTCCTTTATTATGAGACTGTAGACATTGTCTAGGCCTGTGGAGTAATGGTCTTCCATTTGTTTTCAATATTCCTAGTATGCGCTGTCAACCAAAAGAAACACAATTAAAAAATATGAAAAACACATCGTAATGAAGGAAAGACAACTCTCAAAAGCCGAGAAAAAGCTCCAAGAAGATGCAATGGCCTTTGAAGAGTTCCTTCGAGAAAACGACCAGAGATCGGTAGATGCTCTGAAAATGTTAGTTTCTTCACTCTGGCCAAACTCCTCCTTTCTCCCCTTTCTTTTATCTTTCCTTCTTTTGTTATTTATTTTATTTTTTGAAGTTTCCCAGAACACGATATGAAACAAAATAAAAATAAACCTCTTTTTTGTTTTTTTTTTCAGTGCAGCACAAGAAACTCTCAATAAACTACAAACTACAGCAGAGCTAAAGAAAGCAAGTATGGAGGTGCAGGCAGTGAAAAGGTGAGGGCAGGGGCACCATCTTTTTGTGATCAGATTTCTATGCCCCATGAAAACCTGTTTGTGTTTAGCAAGACTGAAATAGGAACACTATTTCTCAGCTGATGATGGCATAGGGATAAACAATTCTTTAAAGTAAGTAACCTGTCAATCAAGGAGTGTCCCTGAGTGGGTAACAAGATGATATAGGGGATTCTGGCTGAAGGTTTTCTCTAATGTGTAGACACAGAAGTGAACAGTAAGTTATTGCCAAGTGAGACACATTTTCCCACATTTTAGTAACTTTGAAATTGGGATTCATCTTATAATCACCTTACAGTCATAATTGGCAGTAATTTTTAAAATATTTATACTGAAATTAACTAGAACCTAGCATTGCTATTAAAAACTGGGGTTGGGGGACTAGCAGATAGTGTTACGGCACTGGACTCCCACTTAGTCAACCGCAGTGCAAGTCCTGGACCCAGCGACTTGAAAGTCACGCCAGGCATGTGTGCATGTGTGCCCAAAATCCCTATAGGAGACTGGAAGAGAAGGGCTTGTGGCATGGCCATCTCTCCTAGAAGGTGATATCTCTTTGTCTCTTTGCCCCATAGCAGAAATCTTTCTGTCTAAAAAAAAAAAAAGAAAAGAAAGAAAATTGGAATTGGAATCAGTATGGTGTTAAAGTAGCTAGATCCCACATGACCAACTGTGTGGTTTTCTGGGACTCAGCAGCTTAAAAAGATGGACATAATACCTATATTATTTTTTCTTTAAAGTTGATTTGTTTCTTCCCTAAGTCAGAGAAACACAAAGAGAGGAAGGCACTCCAGCAGGGTCTGAACAGCACTATCCAGCCCCAGCCTCAGGCAGCCCCGGATAATGAGCACAGCATGTTCAAACATCTCTCAGCGCATCGCATCACCTCTGTGCCACCATCAGGCCCAATAATACCCATCTTACACTGCTGTACTGAGGACAAAATTATGTCGTAGTGTGTCCTGCGCAGCACTCAGTACAAAGGAGGAGCTCGCCAAGTGTTAGCGTCCTTTATTCCCTTACATAAGTACTGTCTTTTGCTACTAATTCCTCCCTATGTCTAAACTTAATTTGCATTTCTCACAGAATAAATAAAGCTATTATCAGCCTATTTTATGTGTGAATATACTTGGGCCTGTTTTATTCAGATGAGTTCCTTCCTGTCTCGTATCAGAGCCCACATTTTTTAAAAGAATTATTTTAGTAACATTATTTATTACCACTATTATTTTTCAGTTTGATCAAACAGAGAAAGAGAGAGAAGGAAAGCAAGAAAGCAAGTCACCAGGTCCAGAACTCGAACCGTGGTCAGCCACGTGGGAGTCCAGTGTCTTTAACCACCATGCTGCTTACCAGCCCCAAGAACCCATTTTTGGGGGCTGTATTTACAATTTTTGATAAGAAGATGATTATTCAAATACATAGTAAAGAGAATAAAATTTAAAAAATACTTTTAACGAACATGCTTTCACACAGATATATACTTAATCATATTTTTGTTTCTTTGGAGTAGTGAAATAGCAAAAACAGAATTCCTCCTTAAGCAGTACATGAAATATGGTTTTTTTCTGCTGAAATTGTCTCCAAAACATTGGCAAATCCAGCAAGCACTAAAAAGAGCACAGTTGACCAAAAAACATTTCTTCCTTCCCAAAATAGTCACAGGTAAGTCATGTATTATTCATTTCAATTAAGTAAATACTCCTAATTCTAAAATATTCTGCTTCAATATTTGTTACTTATTTAGTCAGTTTTTTTAAATGTACTTTTTAAATTATTTATTTAATTTTATTTATTATTATCTTTTAATTTGCTGTAGGGTACATATGCTCACCAGAAAGAGAGAGAGGGAGAGAGAGAGAGAGAAAGAGAAAGCAAACTACCAGATATGGGACTCAAACCGTGGTTGGCCATGTGGGAGTCCAGTGCCTCAACCACCTGCTGGCCCCAATAATCAGATTTTTACTCTTTTTTTTGGGGGGGGGGAAGGTTTTTTGCTATAGAGCACGTGCGCTCATAAGGCAGACAGAGACAGAGAGATAGAAAGTGAGAAATCATCCCCCGGGGGGATGGTCATACCGCAATCCCTTCTCCTCCATTCTCCTCTCGGGATCTTGAGCATGCACGCACACACGCCCAGTGTGAGTTTTAAGCCACAGGTCCGGGACACGAACTGTGGTCGACTACATGGGAGTCCAGCAACATAGCCATTACGCCAACTGCTGGTCCCTACCAATAGTCAGATTTTTAAAAGCAGAACCTGAACTAGGATTTTCACTATATCTCACTATCTGATATTCTATATTATTAATTTGAAAACTCAGATTAATTTCAGATATAAAATAAATAAAAGCATACACATAAAAAAGAGGAAATATATTATTTGTAGATAATACAGTAGCATGTCTAGAATCCCTTGTTTTCCTCCAAAACCTAAACAACTTTTATTTTATTAAAGGTCTCTGCAAAGCAAATAGGCACAAAATCGATTATACTTCATTAACCTAAATAAACTAACATTATTCACTACAAAATACACAAAGAAATAAAATCTAAGAAAACAATAGTAATGTGTGTAACCTAGAAGTTAAATAAATAGAAACATTCATGTTTTCAGATAGGAAGCTGTCATTTTTTTTCAAAGGTTTTTGCCATAGGGGATGTGCCCTCACCAGAGAGACAGAGAAACAGAGAGAGGAAAAGTAACAAACCCTTATCTTACAATCCTTTCTTCTCCATTCTCCTTTTGGAATTTTCAGTAAACAAACACACGCACCCAGCATGATTTTCAAGCTACCACGTCCAGAACTCAAACCATAGTCAGCCATGTGGGATCCTGTACCTTAACCACAATGCCACCTGCTGGACCCTAAAGTTGCCATTAAGAAAAAAATTAATGTATAAATTTTATGGCATTATAATAAAAAGGTTAGCAAAAATTTGTCAGGAATATGGGCATTGGGACAGAGAACTTTACACAATAATTCTCAGGATTATCTAGAAAGATAAAGAAATATTTTTGTATTAAGAATGGGAGGGGATTTTTAATCTTTGAAAGTATGGTGTATACGTACTGTCACAGAATTTTAGTGATTAAAATGCTCTATAACTGGCCTTGAGAAGTCAGCTTAATTGCCACATAAGAGATCCTATTCTCCATAAGAATTCAGTTATTGATAAAAAGGAGACCACTAATGAAGGGAGAAGACTTGTACTTAAAGAAACATTGAGGGGAAGAAGCCAGACTTACTCCCTTGCCTGAAAAAATATTTGAAATAATAGTTTTCAAACAGTAGACATCAAGCAACAAAACAGAGTAATCAATGGAGAGGGAAAACCAAAGAAAATAGCTCTATGATTGTCTTACCTTGCTGCCTCAACTTTCCAGGGGGCCGCAAGAGCGGTAGTGAGCCCAGAAGGAGCACAGCGGGACGCTGATCCTATGACTCCCAGCTAGGAGACCTACTCCACAGAAACCAGGAAACTACAAACCAGGGAGAATTCATCTTCCAGAAAGCTGGCTTTCAAACATTTCCCTGATGGTTACCTTGTTCAGTTCCTTATGTCTCTCACTGTGCTGTATAGGATTAAATTAGATCACACATGTTGAGTCTAGAATGCAGCGATGGCACTTGGTTAAAGCTGCTGAATAGGGGGGGCAGCAGGTGGTGTGGTGGTTAAAGCACTGGACTCCCACATGGCCAACCACAATTCGAATCTCAGATCTGGCAGCTTTGAAAATCATGCTGGGAGTGTGTGCATGCATGCCCGGAGTTCCAGAAGGACAATGAAGGAGAAAGAATTGTGGTGTGACCATTATCCTAGGGAGTGATTTTTCACTGTATCTCTCTGGTAAGCACCTGCACCCTATGGCAAAAACAAAACAAAAACAAAATAATAAATAAAAGCTATTAAATTATGTTGAACAAGGGGAAATAAAGATTCAGTCCCTCTAGATGTGTTACTCTAAAGAGAAAATGCTCAGTAACTCTCTCAGTCCAAAGGAGTGAACAGCTAAAAGGGATATTAGGGATTATACCCAACTGATATTGGAAATGAAAACCTCTTGGTCTCCCCAGTCTGTTATTTTTTTTAAAAATAAGTATTTATTTAATTTTATTCATTCATTCATTTATTTTAGTTTGACCAGAGAGACACAGAGAGAGAGAGAAAGTGAGAAGGTAAGCCTCCAGGTCTGGGACTTGAGCCGTTGTCAGCCGTGTGAGAGTGTCCAGTGCCTTAGCCATCATGCCACCTGCTGGTCCCTCCCACAGTCTTTCCTATGCCAGAGACCAGGCCTTGCCATCTGCATAATACATTTGCTAGTTACAATGTCTCTATTTTATATTTCTGTTTCTATAAGTTTTGGCAACAAGTCTACCTTTGCCCAAAGATGAAGTTCTTATTCTCACATTTCTTTTTCCCCTTTTCTCTCCCCCTCTTTATTTCCCATTTCTAGGTTTGGTATTACATTCACAAAACAAAGAGGATAACTTAGAGAACTTCAGGAAGCCGTTACAATCAGAAGACACGGCTCTGGAAAGAGATAGCCACGGTAAAAGTAGAGATGAGTGGCTTTATTCATAAAAGTAAAACAAAGAATGTGGCCACCTTAGGGCGGAAATGGAACTCTGCAAGCTAACCTGGAAAACAAGAGCAGTGTCCACATCACCCATCATCCCGAGGAGCCAGGGGTTCATTTCTCTCACTGACATTGTCACAAAACTCAGAGAGGAGCGTGAGTGCACAGAGGAGCAGAGAATCAGGACCAGGGGGCCTGGCTGACTGACACACACCCTGAGGTCTCTCCTTAGTAGCACCCCCTCACTGCTCCGGCTCAGGCCTCCCTCCAGTATTCCCCAGTCCGGGAAACCAGATGACAACCACTGACCAATGACTCAGACTAGTAGCTCTTGGAAAAGACTGAGGGAACTCTCAAATAACCACAATCAACTCCAAAAATTCCTTCAATATCCCCAGGCCCTTTGGGGGCAATGACCTTCTTCCCTTCATCCTGACCCTCCTTTCTCCATCAGAACCACAGAGGAGAGACCCAGCTCACTGAACTGCTCCATGAGGCTCCCATGTTTTAACATTGCTTGATGTGGTGGCCAACATTTTTAAATCAGCAGATGTCATTAAAAAAAAAAAAAAATCTGGATTCTATCTTTTCTTGAAAAGCACCAGATCTGAAGTCCAGGGCTACGTTAGAAGTGCCCCCAGGGGAGCGTGCTGCTCTCTCCAGTTACCTCCATCCCTGCTGGGCACGCATCACTCTTCTACCTGCCCTGCCCTGAGTTTGCAGCCCCCAGTGCAGCCTGCCTCTTGCCGACTCCTTTTCTCTCTCCCGCTCTTCACCATGGGATGTAGTCTGTTGGGAGTACGACTCAGCAGCACAACTTGCCTGTCCCCAAATCACCCTCGTAAGAGCCTGATGCCTTGTGCTTTTGGCCACCTGATTGAAAACATCCGTTCTTTTGGGTCCTGAAGACAGTTTAGGTCCACATTATATAAGTCATATTACTTTGCGATGACTGTTACTACTCAAGGATCCTGAGTAGAGTTGGGGGAGTGTACAGGGAGTGGATGGAGCACATATACTCTTCAAAATCTTGAACATAGAATTTGCCCAGTTAAATAACACCCTTAACAATATGTTTTAGTAATACGCATTTGAGTTTCAGCTTGAAAGCTAAACTGATCAACTGTGATCATGGTGGGACCCATCTGGTTTCTCGTTCACTTACTGCCTCCTCTCCTTCACCTTATGTTAATGGAGTCATGCAATGTGTTAGTTCTCCAAGACCTTCAAGTACACAAAGACAAATAAGACATAGTTCTGTGCCCCAGGACTGCACAACGTAGTGGGGTGAATGATTTGGTAGAGACAATAGTAAGGGCCAAAGCCAAAACCGTGATCTCAGTCTGGGGTATTTATTTATTTATTTATTTATTTGGAGAGGTTTTTGCTATAGGGAGCGTGTACTCACCAGAAAGACAGAGAGAGACAGAGAGACAGAAAGTGAGAAATCACCCCCCAGAGAGGATGGCCATGCTGCAATCCCTTCTCCTCCATTCTCTTCTTGAGACCTTGGGCACACATGCATACGTGCCCGGTGTGAGTTTAAGCCACCGAGTCCGGGACTTGAACCACAGTCCAGAGACATAGCCATTACACCAACTGCTGATCCCAGTCTGGGAAACTTATAAGGCAAGGTCACATTTGAGTTGGATTCTGAAGGATGAGTAGGATCTTAACAAATGGAGAGTGGGTTCAAGACAGAATAGCAGGAAGGAAGACTGGGAGTCATCAAAGCCAGTGCTGGCATGAAGAAACATGACCTGGTATGGAAGGGATTTGGGAGCCAGTTGATGAAGAGACCCAAGACATTTGACCACTTCTCAGTTTCAGACCAGGGCTGGGTCCAGGCTTTGATGTGGGGGCACAGGTTCCCATAGGAGTGGGGGGAACAACACTGGTGACGTGTGTGACAATAGTAGGTCTATGCCTAGTATGGAATGATTGAAGTGCGTGTCATTTTAATTTTCACCCTTGACTTAAGAAAAAAAAAATCTGTGCTTGAAAATATGTATATGTACGTGGTTAGATAGAATATGGCATATATTTCACAATTTAGGCCCCCAATTTGTGACTTTGGATAGCTGTATCCTGCTTCTGATAATATGCATTCCCCCACCCACTCCTGCATAACCCAACCCACCCCCAGCTAGTGAGCCTTTGATTTTAAACTTATCCTTGGATCTTAATTTCTGTAAAAAGGATACTCCATTTCTTCTATGATTCTTCTTCTTTTTTTTATAAGAATTATTTTATTGAACTTATTTATTTATTTAAATTTGACCAGAAAGGGACACAATGAGAGACAGAGAGAAAGTGAAAAAGCAAGCCGCCAGGTCCGAGACTTGAACCACAGTTGACCATGTGGGAGTCCAGTGCCCTTAACCACCATGCTACCTACCAGCCCCTCTAAGGTTATTATTCTCATAAAATAAATTTTAAAAAGAAGTAAAGGGCATATCTGTGCAGAAAAATAAAGACTTTGCATCACGTGACAAAGATCACTTTTTAATAACATGTTATTTCTTTTCATGCCACCATCACCAACAACATGGACTTTACCTGGATGTTATGAACAGCAAAGCCACACAGGACAATCTCTGTCTTCCAAGAAGATAGACAATCATCCTCTTCAAAGTATAGTACCTACTTGCTGAATTCTCTTAAAAATTGAATTGCTTTTTGGCAAATAAGTGTTTTAGGCTTTCCTCAACATACATAGCACATACAGGCACCTGTTGTAACAGATACCGGAGGTGGAGGCTGCCTCCTCTGTGTTCCCGAGGTGCCTGTGCTAAGTGGCAGACCTCTCTGCCTGTAACTGCTGTATAGGAACTGCCTACCCCCCCGCCTCTGAGGTATTTGCCTCCCGGGACCCACTTCCCTATGGTTTATGAAATTACTCTGCTAGCCTGTGTGCTTGTAATTTCACCACATCGTTCAGAATTGCTGCAATCCAATCATAAAGCATTTTTATTGCTATTTATTTTTATTTCTTCCTTTCCTTGATTATGACTCATTTATACTCATTATTTCATAAACTGTCAGTTTTCAACCCTAGCTACCCTTAGGGAGCTTAAGAAAGTGTGTTATTGGGCCAGTAGGTAAGGTGGGCCCAATAACCCAAAAGGTTGACCACTGTTCAAGTCCCAGACCTGGCAGCTTGATTCTCACTTTCCTTTTCTCTCTCTCTCTCAGTCTGTCTCTTGCTGGTGAGCACACATGCCCTATAGCAAATTTTTCAAAAATAATAATAAATAAAATTAAAGAAATAATTCTTAAAAAAAAAAAAAAAAGAAGAAGAAGAAAGAAAAGGGTGTGTTAAGGCCCGGAACAGATACACCAACCTGAGAAAGACAGAAGGAGCCAGTAGCACAGTATCCACAACAATCACTGAGGACAAGAGACACTTTGCTCTGAATTGTGGGTTGCTCCACTTCAGTGGCATTTAGCTGTCATTTTAAAATTTTAGTTAAATTTTTATTTCTAGATCATCTCAGATTCACCCAGAGTTGTAAGGAATAATACAGAAATAATTCCATGTACTGTTTACCTAGTTTTCCCCAATGGTAACATTTTATAAGACTGTGATATAATACTATGGCCAGTTATATTTATAGTTATAATCACCCCTCCCCCAAGAGGGATAACCATGCCACAATCTCTCTACTCCATTCTCCTCTCAGGATTTTGGGCATGCACACCCATGTGCCTGGCATGATCTTTTAAGCTACCAGGTCTGGGACTCGAACTGAAGAGTTGGCCATGTGAGAATCCAGCTGCTTAATCACCATGCCACCTGCTGGCCCTATATTATTGTACTTTCAATTTGCTTTTTTCCTAGTAGTTAATGGTATTGACCATCTTTTCATGTGTTGTTTGCATCTTTATATCTTCTGGTGAAATGTCTGTGCATGTCTTCTGCTCATTTCCCAACTGGATTGTTTTACTGTTGAACTCTGAAAACTCTTTATATATTAGCTACTATTCCTTTGGGGATATGTGATTTGCAGATATTTTCTCCAGGTCAGTAGATTGTCCTTTCATTCTCTTAGAGTCTTTTGTGGTACAAATGTTTTTTTAATTTTAATGAAGTCTAACTTATTATTTTTTTCTCTTACGAATTATGCTCTGGTTGTCAGTTCTAAAAATTTTTGCCTACTGGGTCAGCAGATGGTGTGATGGTTAAGGAACTGGGTCCCATATGGCTGACTTTATAGTTTGATATGTGAGAGTTGTTAGTGTATTAGCAACGGTTGAATCCAAGGATGAGAACAAGGTTGCCCCAAAAGAATGGGTAGACTGAGAAGGAAAAAAGGCTGAGTCACAACAGATATTCATGTAGAAGAGGAGCCCCCACAGACCGCAAGAGATAAAAGAGGTGAGAAGATTGCTTAGATAGTGAGGTTATGAACAGGAGAAGAGGTGAGCAGTAGTGTCAAATTCTTTGTCAAAGGCCGTCTGCCAGTATTCACCTACTATCATGGCCCTTTCTCTGTTTTGCACATTATCTCTTAATTGCTCAAAAGATGACTTCATCCCCTCAAAGTCATCATGAACAGAGCAAATATTCATTCTTTTCTTATCTCATCTTTAAACCATTTTCCTTCCTGTGAGTGCTACCTCCCTTATTCCAACATCCTAGACTAGTAATGTTGGAGTTATCTATGTTTCTTCTCTTTTGATCCCAACAGCTCTATTTTTGGTCCCTCATGATTTCATTTTTCCAGGTACATCTAGATTCTCCTCCACTCGTTTTCTCACTTTTCCTATCATCACCACCCTCTTTTTGAAAGTGTTAATTCCTAGATCATACCAATTGCCACCTTACTGTCTTGGTATTTCCTGTTTCTTTAATATCCTTATCATTTTCCATTTATCTTTCTTTTCTTAAAATTAACTTATCTAACTTTATTTATTTATTTATTTTAATTTGACCAGAGAAGGACAGAGTGAGAGAGAGAGAGCAACAGAGAGAGGAAAGTGAGAGAGCAAGACACCAGGTCCAGGACTCGAACCACAGTCAACCATGTGGGAGTCTAGCACCCACAACCACCACGCCACCTGCCAGCCCCTATCTCTCTTTTTAAAAAGCCTTCTTTCCTCCTTCCCTCCCTTTTTCTTGAGTGAGTAAGAGAGAGAGACAGGGACCCCTTTCACAGTCCTGTCATGCCCTGGTTCTCTCCCACTCCCAGTCTTCTAGCCAATTGGGATCATGATCACCCCCCCTGGGTGTGTTTGGTGTGTTCAGGTCAACCTGGGATCCAAGCCTTGAGCCTTCTCATATTCTCTTTTTATTTTGTTGAAGACTTTCTTTAAGATCATACTTTATCACTAATTTTCTCAATCAACACTTCATCAACCTAATCTGAGGATATTTTGAAAAGTAAAAGCTGCTCTTAAAAAGTCAAGTATGGTCTTACTAGGAGATATTTGGAAGACTGTGATATGAGCTTAGTTTTGAGTACTTGAGCATGGTTAGTTTCTCAAGACTGTATTAAAGGGACAAAATATGGAAATGAAAGCTGTCATGCATTTCTTTTAAAAAGTTACCTTACTTGGGGCCAGCAGGTGGATTGATGGTAAGGGCACGGGACTCCCACATGGCTGACCATGGTTCGAGTCTCAGACCTGGTGTCTGGAAAATCATGCCAGATGTGTGTGGGTGGGCATGCCCCAAAAGGAGAGAATGGAGGAGAAAGGATTGTGGCATGGCCATCCTTCTCACTTCCCTTTGGGACGGGGGGTGATTTCTCACTTTCTTCCTCTGTTTCTGTCTGGTGAGCAGTCATACCCTATAGCAAAAAAACTTTTAAAAAATGACCTTTTATATAGGTATACTTTAGTTGGTACCAAATTTTGTGGCCTTTCCATATGGTCTCATTGTGTATGTCAGCCTTGTCTAGGATTGAACCCAATATTCTTTTGCATATTCATGGAATCAATGGATTTCTGCAATCAGCAGTTCCCTAAAAGGGTATTGAAAAGAACTTCTAGTTAGATTCCAAAGACAATTCAGAAATGAGAGCAAATAATGAAAAATGACTCACAAGTCAGACATTTATGGGAACCAGCAGATGGTATAATTGTTACATCGCTGGACTCCCAAGTTGTTGACCAGGGTCCAAGTCCCAGTCCTAGAGGCTTAAACTCACGCCTACAGCGTGAGCATGCGTAACTAATATCCGGAGGGGGAAACGGAGGAGAGGCAACTGTAGTTTGGCCATTTCCCCTGGGAGGTGATTTTTCACTTTCTTTCTGGCAAGCACACGTGCCCTATAGCAAAAATCTCTCTTAAAAAAAAAAGAAGAAGAAGAAGAAGAAGAAATCAGGCATTTCCTTTCTCTTCTTTTTTTTGTAGCCAACCTGACAGTGACAATTCAGAAGACAGTTCAGACTTCCTTTATGATGAAGATATCCACTTGGATATGGTAACCAAATTACATTTCTTGGTCTAAATATTTAAAAATTAAAACTTCTTATTGTTAATATTCTACAAACTTCCCCAAAATACATGATTTTTATATTGTTTCCAATTTTTTTGTGTACGTGTATATATATATATATATATATATCTTTGACATCAGACATCTCAAGAAAAATAAATATCTATAAAAAGGTAATAATTTGAGTGAGCATCAGGTAGCATAGTGGTTAAGGTGCTGGACTCCCACATGGCTGACTGGTTCGAGTCCTGGACCTGGAGGTGTGAAACTCATGCCGGGAGTATGTACATGCATAGCCAAAATCCCAAGAGGAGAAGGGATTGCAGCATGGCCTTTTTTTTGGGGGGGGGATCTGATTTTTCACTTTCTCTCTCTGTCTCTCCAGTGAGTGAACGTGCCCTATAGCAAAAATCTCTCTTTGAAAAAAAAAAAAGGTAATACTGGTAAAGAGATGTAGGAAACCTTTAATCTTCCTGTAAAAATAGCCACTTTCCGAGGGCTTGAGATGTATCAGGCAGCTGAACCGTTAGATAAATAGGTCTTCAATAGAATAGTCCTTTATTGCTACAAGTTTGACTTTGAGCTAGCTTCGCCCTAAATATAACCACAGAAACTCAAAAGTAGCAAAATAAAAATCATTCTTTATTGTATACCACAAGACTTTTTAAATTAGTGGTAAAAAAAAAACACATAACAAAATTTACCAACTTAATCATTTTAAGTGTGTAGCATAGAAGTGTTCACTTTTAACACCCATTGTCATGCCATAGATCTCTAGAACTTTTTCAACTTGCAAAACGGAAACCCACTACCCATTAAACACCTCCTCTTCCTTCTCTTGCCTAGTCCCTGGCAATCACCATTCTACTTTCTGTTTCTAAGAGATTGGCTACATTAGATATCTCATATGAATGGGATCATGCAGCATTTGTCTTTCGATGACTGACCTATTTCACTTAGCATAATACTTTCAAGGGTCATTCATACCATGGCATGTAACAGGATTTCCTTCCTTTTTTAAGGCTGAGTAATATTCCATTACATGTATATACCTCACTTTCATCCATCCATCCATCTGTGGACATTCAGGTTGCTTCCACCTCTTAGCTATTATAAATAATGATCAATGTGGATATGCAAATTTCTTCTTTTTTTTTTTTGGAGAAATTTTTGCTATAGGGTGCATGTGCTCACTGGAAAGACAGAGAGAGACAGAGAGATAGAAAGTGAGAAATCACCCCCCAGGGGGATGGCCATGCCACAATCCCTTCTCCTTGAGTCTCCTCTTGGGATCTTGGGCACACATGCACATGCACCCGGCATGAGTTCAAGCCACCGGGTCCAGGACTCAAACCACAGTCAGCTACATAGGAGTCCAGCGTCGTAGCCATTCTATCTGCTGGTCCCAAGATATGCAAATTTCCAAGTAATCTTTTTGAAGTTGTTTACTTAAAGCAGTATATACCGATTCTTAAAAAACTGGAAAATACAAACGAATTTAAATGTGGGGAGAAAATGACCTCACTTAGCCTTTCTCCTTTCTTTTCTTCTCCCTTGCCCTTTCCTTTTTCCTGCTCTTGCCACCTCTTTTGCCATATAGCTCTTCTTTCTCTCTTCCTCAACCTCATCTTCCCTTTTCCTTTCTCCTTACTTTCTCTAATACTCTCAGCTCTCTTCTACGTCCTACACGGAAAATGCCCTCCACCCGAAAGCCACCTTTCACTTGGAAGTCAGTGAGCCACCTGTACAATTCCCTCCCCATGCCTCCCTCACACGGGGAACAGTATTCCTTTACGCCACCGTATTTTCTAGGTAAGTCACGTGGTAACATATTATTTTTAAGTGAACTATATCCTTTGTTATTGATTGATCAGAGGCCAGAGCTTTATTTCAAAGAGCCTGAAGAGTTACTTCAAGTCCTCACAGAGCTGGAAGAGCAGAATCTTACGTTGGTACAATATTCCCAAGACGTAGATGAAAATCTTGAAGATGTTAACAAACGAGAAAAAGTTATACAGGATAAAATGTAAGTCATGAAAAACAAGTTAATGTATTCTATTATGCAGTTTCCTACTGAAGATTGGATCCAATCCATTTATGTATAGATCTTCCTGGCAGTCTCTGTATGTAAGCCTGGATTTTTTCTTTTCTTTTCTTTTCTTTTCTTTTTTTTTCTTTTTTTTTTTTTTTTTTAGAGACAGATTTTTGCTATAGGGCATGTGCATTTGCTGGAGGGACAGAGAGACAGAAAGTGAGAAATCACCCCCCAGGGGGATATCCACACTGCAATCTCTTTTCCTCTATTTTTCTCATAGGATTTTGGGCGTGTGCACACACACACATGCACCCAGCATGAGTTTCAAGCTGCTGGGTCTGAGACTCACACTGGAGTGGACTACATGAGAGTCCCGCGACATAACCATTATGCCATCTGTTGGCCCCTAAGCTAGGATTTTTATTAATAATAGTTTCTATTACAGGGTGCAAAAAGCAGGAGGTGTAAATATATACACAGAATAGATTGGCTTCAGTTTAATTTCGTTCTTACTTCCTTTCATTTGTCAGAATATTTTCCTAACTAATAATAATAAAAGATAGTTTAGAAGACTGAAAAGGATTAAAATGATGCCTACTGCCTTACATTTTGACCAATGTTGTTTTCACCCTATCCCTGGCTAGCTGTCTTCATAATCAACTCATTCTATGGGTGATAATACTAATAAATGTATTTTCCTTGGCTGTGACTCCCAGCAAAATAACTTTATGATGAAATATTTTATCATTTTGTAACGTACATAAGATATCAGGGATATTATGAAAGGAATTTCTGTCCATGGAAGGAAACTTTGTTGACTCACAAAATTTCTCCCCTCAGGCCAGCAGGTGGCATGGTGGCTAAGGCTCCCCCGTGGCTCCTCCATTGCCAACCTCAATTCAAATCTCAGATCTAGTGGCCTAAAAATCACGTTGGCACGTGTGTGTGCATGCCCAAAATCTCAAGAGGAAAATGGAGAAGGGATTGTAGTGCGGCCATCCCTCCTGGGGGTGATTTTTCACTTTCCCTCTCTCTATCCCTTTCTATCCCTCTCCGTTGAGTGCACATGCTCTATGGCAAAACCCAAACAAACAAAAAAATCCTTCCCTCTAAAATTTAATATTATTACAGGGATCAGCAGGTGGCATAGAGGTTAAGGTGCTGGACACTCCCACATGGCCAATCACGGTTCAAGTCCCGGACCTGGTGGCTTGCTTTCTCACTTTCCCTCTCTCTCTCTCTCTCTCTGTGTGTGTGTGTGTGCGTGTGTGTGTGTGTGTGTGTGTGTCTTTCTCTGGTCAAATTAAAACGAACTGAATGAATAAATAAAATAAATAATTCTTTAAGAAAAAAATGTAATGTTATTACAATTTTGAAAAAGAGGTTTAAGTTTTAGAGAATAGATCTTTATACCTACCCATTATAAAAATGTGTATAGCATTTTTAGGAGCAATTCTCTGGGCCAGAAGATGACCATCTTTTTTAAACAATAGGTCAAACTACTTTTAATTTCAGAACAAATTGATTTGTTTAGAAGTAAGGACCTAAAAATCATTATCTCAGCGCCATCATTGCCGTTACTTATCCTTTCCATCCTTGTGTCTTTCTCGATCCTCATATTGAGAGGATTATATGATACCACAATGCAATGATCGGGGACAAGGTGGGTGCAGGCAGGGAAGAATAGGGCATCTATATTACAATAGAGTCTCTCTCTAGAGGATCTTCATCAGCATATCTAGGCGAGGGAGTCAGGAGTCTGTATTTTTCCCCTTGGCCCCCAAGTAGCTGATTATCAGCCAGGGTTGAGAACCCTGATGTGATGAATCAATTCACACCACACTGGGTTCCTGACACCCGGGCTGGCTGCTTTCTATTTGGGAGACTTGAGTGAAGCCACAAAAGGGAGGGAGGGGAAGAAAATGTCTTAAGGTAGAAGTTAAAAAAAGCATTTGTGCATTTCTTTATTCATCTGAACTTGAAAATGTCTTTGGAAATGTCTTCAAATACAGACACATATTTATCTCCTTAGACATTGAATGTTGACCAATGATCTAAGAAGAGTGTTGAAGTTTCTGACCAATGGTCACCAATGAGGTCTCGTTCTTCTTTCGCCATAGAAATAGCAACATCGAGTTTCTTTTGGAGCAGAAGGAGATGCTGAAGGCTAACTGTATGAGAGAAGAGGAAAAGGCAGCAGAACTAGAATTAAGGTCCAGGCTGTTTAGTTTTGGAGAGTTTAATTCAGATGCTCAGGTAATCACTCTTTGCCTGTGGTCACTTTGTTTTGGCTCATGATAATAAGAATTGGCATTTCCTGTGTACTAAGCATGTGAATAGGAGGGGTAAAGCCACCACAAATCCCAGGTTGATGATAGAGGCGGAAAACCAGCTCGGAATGATCTTGCCAGTATGTAATAGTCAATTACATAGATAAGGGGCCTTGCAATTGGCATTAGGGAGCTCTTAAATTATTACAAACCATGATATTAAAGGTTTCCCCTATAAATTCATTTATTTAAGCAGCGTTCATACATAGGAAGTAGTTCACTGCCTATGATCATTTCCGCGGAGTTCAAGGAGAGGCCACGAAGAAGCAACACAATTAATAGTGAATCAACAATGAATGGGAAATTTGTCCAGCATGGGACCTGTAGATTTTAGCCTCATTGGGCTGTACAGATTTATCACCCGTGAGACACGCTGAGACGCTCTCCAGGGCAGTGATTTTCTTACCCTTCTTAGTTTAGTTTAGCACACCTTCCCCCATGGTCAGTGAACAATAAATGTTTGTTGAATGAATAATAGGTTAGTTTTGAGACCTGCAACAAACTCCACCTAACATTGGTTTCCTTGTAAGAACCTTGAATAAAGTAAAAATTCAAAATGAATTATGTGGAGCCTATTATGATTTTCAAACAGAGGTAAATTTGGGGAACTATGTCAGAAGATGGTCATCCTCCCTGACCTTCAGGTGGGCAGGATTACAAAAAGCAAAAGCTGTGTATGACTCCTTCACACACATACACATTTTCTTGGGCGTTTCAGCACCCTGAGTTAGCAGGGGATTTCAGTTCTTTGATGCTGGTTGTTTGGGGTGTCCTTTTGTTTTTCTTTTTTTCCCCCAGCATTTTTTTTTCCTATGGTAAAATATATATAACAAAATTTGCCATCTGATCATATTACATGTGCAATTCAATAGAATTAAGTATATTTACAGTGTTGTTTAATCATCACCACCATCTATTTCTAGAGTTTTATTTTTTTATCATCATTTCAACATAAAATTTACCATCTTAACCATCAATTAAATATACAGTTCAGTAGTGTTAATTATGTTCACATTGTTGTGCAATCGATCTCCCGAACCATTTTTATATTGCAAAACTGAAACTCTGTACCCATGAAATAGTAAACCCCCCCCTTCATCCCCCAGCTCCTGGCAACCACTGTTTAATCTTCTTTATGAATTTGATTATTGTAGGTACCTCTTGTAAGAGGAATCATATGATACATGTCCTATGGTGTCTGGTTTAGTTTGTTGCAGAAAAACAGATGCCAAGAAACAAAAAGCGGCACTCAGGAGAGAAAGGAGAACTCTTTATTATGTCAGCAGGCACAAAAGAGTTAACACTGAATCTCTGGGCCCGGCTGAGAGTTGGACACAGTCTTTTATGAGTGAATTGGATAAGGGGGAGTCTCAGCAGGCTAGGGGTACCCTATCGGGGAAAGAGGCTCAGGATTTGCCCTAATACAGAGGTGGCAATTAAGTATATTTACAGTGTTGTTTAATCATCACCACCATCTATTTCTAGAGTTTTATTTTTTTATCATCATTTCAACATAAAATTTACCATCTTAACCATCAATTAAATATACAGTTCAGTAGTGTTAATTATGTTCACATTGTTGTGCAATCGATCTCCCGAACCATTTTTATATTGCAAAACTGAAACTCTGTACCCATGAAATAGTAAACCCCCCCCCTTCATCCCCCAGCTCCTGGAAACCACTGTTTAATCTTCTTTATGAATTTGATTATTGTAGGTACCTCTTGTAAGAGGAATCATATGATACATGTCCTATGGTGTCTGGTTTAGTTTGTTGCAGAAAAACAGATGCCAAGAAACAAAAAGCGGCACTCAGGAGAGAAAGGAGAACTCTTTATTATGTCAGCAGGCACAAAAGAGTTAACACTGAATCTCTGGGCCCGGCTGAGAGTTGGACACAGTCTTTTATGAGTGAATTGGATAAGGGGGAGTCTCAGCAGGCTAGGGGTACCCTATCGGGGAAAGAGGCTCAGGATTTGCCCTAATACAGAGGTGGCAGAGAAGTAGGGACTCCAACGTGCTCAAGGCCTCTGGCCGCTCAACAGTTCAGGGGAAGAGCAGCTAGTTTGCAGGGGAACAGAAAGCCCAGGTAGCTATCAGCCCTGGGCTGCTTCAAGGTTGCCCACAAGTTCTTCCATATCAGAAAAGAAGGTTCAGGCAGTTATCAGCCTTGGGTTGCTCCACATCAATTTCACTTTTCATAATGTTCTCAGGGTTCATCCATGTGGCAGCATGTATGAGAATCCCATTCATTTCTATAGCTGAGTAATATTCCATTGCATGTATGTTTATGCCATATTTTGTTTACCTATTCAACTGTTGATGGACACTTTGAAGGTTTCCATCCTCTGACTATTTTAAGTAATTCTGAATCTGTTAGCAAAATGTCAAATAAATATCTGTGCTATTTCTCCCCCAACTCCTGCCCCAACCAAGTTCCTTTAATTCCAGTATAGGGCAATTCTGAAAAGAAGTAGCATTTTCAATCATAAACACTGAGGCAGTTAGGTCCCTAATTAGAGAAAAGTGGAATTTATCTGAATGCTATTTAAAATATATATATATATCCATAAAATTTTAGTCACAAGTGTAAATACATATAAAATTCATGTATTGTACACATGAGAACTAGGGCTAATAATTTATAGAGTCTCCTAGAGAGAGAAAATGTGAGGTGGGGAAAAGGAAGTGGAACAGGAAAGCATACAGGAAAAAGTATTCTTAGAATTTTTCTGCTTCCCTTCTCACATTCTTTCAGATCTCAAAATGTACAAAACATAATCCTTTATAAATAAAGAGTTGTATGCAACTTTTTAAAAGTTTTTTGCAGCCTTATTGAGTTATAATTGACATGTTTTATGTTCACAAATTATCATAGTTACTTTGAAGCTATAAATATAAACTGAATATTTTTATTCTTTCAGAACTTCTGCATTTCTAAATGTACTTAATTCCCTAAAATTTTTCCCTTGTTTCAATATTTTATTTTCAAGGACCAGCAGTTAGCATAATGGCTATGCCGCTGGACTCCCATGTAGTCGACTGCGGTTCAAGTCCTGGACCCGGTGGCTTAAACTCATGCCGGGCGCGTGTGCGTGCGTGCCCAAGATCCCAAGAGGGGAATGGAGGAGAGGGGATTGTGGCATGGCCATCCCCCCTGGGGAGGGGGAGGGGGATTTCTCACTTTCTGCCTCTCTCTCTCTGTCTTTCTGGCGAGTGCACACGTCCAATAGCAAAAACCTCTCCAAAAAAAAGAAAAAAATTTACTTTCAAAATAAAATTTTAAACCCATTTTAGTATAATGTGATGTTTGAAAGTGCAAAAATTGTAAGTGTACCTCTAGAGTGAACATGTCCATGTACCACCCCTCAAAGCAGGGATTAGATCCTTCTCAGCACCCCAGGAAATCTCCCTCCTAGCCTCTTCCAGTCTCATCACTCCTCAAAGATGGCCACTATCCTCACTTCTCTCACCATCAATTAGCTTTCCTGTTTTTGAAGTTTGTAGAAATGGAATCCTAGAACCAGACACATGGCTTGGTGATTAAGGCAGCCAGATCCCACATGGCTGACCACACTTTGAATCCTGGCCCCATCGGGTTGAAAAACATCCGTACATTCCCCAAAGCCTAACAGGATGGAGAAATGGAGAAGGGATATCAAAGTGACCGTGACCATGCCCTGTGAGGGGGCGCTTTCTCCTCCCTTTTTCTGTTTCTCTGTCTCTCTCTCTGGCAAGTGCATGCACCCTCTGGTACCAAAAAAAAAAAAAAAAAAAAGAATCCTATGTCTAGCCTCTTTCTCTCAACGTTATGTTCGCGAGGTTCACCCATGTTGTTTTGTGTAGCGATGGTCTGTTCATTTTCCGTGAACGTGAAATGGAACCAAGCTGTCCCGTTGTGGAATCTGTGGAATGTGTCCACCTCTGGTATTATTCCTCTTTCGCTCAAGTGGCTGATGCAGTTCAGATGGGAGAATCGTGTGGCCGGGAAACACACTGTGACAGGATTAGCATTACAGAATTGCTGACTTGGAAAGAACTTCTAGTGATCTCTCGCTATCTTCTCCCTCCCCTCTCTGGTTTTGATACAATAATCCCTCCTAAAACATTGATCCGTCTGGTCGTATCACTTCCCATTCACTGTGGGAGGTGTCTGAAGTTCTTATCCGGGTACTCGGAGTCTTCCTTAATCCTGCCCCAGTCTATCTTCGGTAGACTCCAGAGCTCCTCCCCTCCAGCTCAGCCTCCCTTCACAGCTCCTCCCTCTAGCCGGGCCTGCCATCTGGTGGCAGTCCCAGAGATCATCCTGACACTTCCTTTCTGTCCATAGGCCTGTGCCTTTCCTTGCCCTTTTGGTCTGTGGAGCTAGACCCGCAATCTCTTTTTCACTCATGAGCTATCTTCTTAAACATCATGCCCCTCTCCTATAATTATACTCTTCTTCCCTTTAAAAAAATCTCTCTTGTCTTTCTCCTCTCCTGTTTACCAAAGCAACGTAAAGAAGAGAGGAAAAAGCCACAGTCTAAAAAAGCCACAGCCCATCCATCTCTGTAGGTCTAAGTGTTTAAGAGGTCTCCTCTGGAACATCCATCCATTTCTAACCATTCCCATATTCAAGTCGCTGTTTCTCAGTATTTCATATATTTTTTTTAAATATATTTTCTCTGCCTTGTTGAATGATTTGCATTGCAGCAATTTTTTTCATGTACAATATGTATTTCAAACCTTGATGTGTTACTTTTGCTTTTTTTCTTTCATATTTTTCTGTCTCCCAAGTATTTTTTTTTAAATAACATGCTATATAAATAGGAAACACAGTAAGTTATTTTACAGAGGGAAAAGAGGGGTTTTATGACAAATAGGACTTATGCATTTAAAAAAATGGTTTTGTATTTCTCCACTTTTCTAAAACGGTCGTTGTAGTATAAATAGAAAATGCAATCAGTGTTAGAGAGGAAAAAAGGACCTTTGTGGTAAATAGGACCATCAGGAGTCTTGTTAAACGAGGAGGGGGAAGTGACAAGCCATTGGAAGTACACTTCTGGTATCAGATCTTGCTTGTAAATAAGCGTTGATGGCTCTGGAAGGAGTTTGTCATTCCTGGAGGGGTCTCCCACGGCTCCAGGAGCCACATCTGTCTTGACTTGTATTATTTGTCCTTGGCTTTGTGGTGACTCTCATCTTCTTGGGCAGAAGCGGGCATTTGGGCAGAGTTCTACCTGGAAAGCCATTTACTTTGCTGAGCAGTTTCTTGAGGCCCTCTTATCTACAAATACCGGGTATGCAGTGGAGAAAGAGGATGGCAGTCTTCCTGTGGTCTCGAAACAAGTTACATACCAGCTCATGAATCTCCACCAACAGATAAAACGGCGCAGTTGCGAGGTACAGGGATCAGCCAGGTTTGACCTAAGCTTCTGTTTAGACTCAAATACTACAGTGGCTTCCCAAGGGACTGAAAGTTAAACTCCTAAAAAAGCTTTAGTAGAACAGCCTGGGAATCTGTTTGCTTATAACTTTTTTTCTCTCTCTGAAAGAATTTATTTATTATTCATTTATTTATGTATTTATTCAGCAAACATTTATTAAGTGTAAGGTCAGATGCAAAGTACTATTTCAAATGCCATTGTAAATATAAGAAGTACTTCCTGACCTCCAGGTGCTTCCAGTCTAGAAGGGGAAATAAGGTCTACATGCAGGTAACTATTAAACAGGATGATTACAATTTTAGCAATAATAATAGAGTAATATATTAAAAAAAGAGGGGTTGACATATTATGCTATTAGGAAGTGCATCAGAGTGGCAAAAAGGAATTTATGATATATACACTGCCTCTACTTGAATGCTTAGGGCATCAGATACACAAAACATTCAAGCACGAAGATATTCTTTTTATAGTAATAAGATAGTCTCCTTATAATTATTTTTATACCTTTGTATAAAAGTATCTTTTTTATATGTAAATGTATTTTAAGAAAATATTCCAAAGTGTTAAAATAGTAAAATATGACTGTAATTTGATATAGGTTAAATATCACTGTTTCATTTTCTCATTGGTTTCTGTCATAGTAAAGTTTTTTTCTTTTTCTTTTTCAAGAGGTTTTTGCCTTAGGGCTCATGCACTCACTGGGGAGAGAGAGACAATGAAATGGAAAGTGAGAAATCACCCACCAGCGGGGATGGCCACACTGCAGTTTCTTCTCTTTCATTCTCCTCCTGGGATCTTGGGCATGCACACACGCATGCACCCGGCGTAAGTTTCAAGCCACAAGGTCTGGAACTCGAACTGTGGTCAACCATGTGGGAGTCCAGCAATGTAACCATTGTGCCATCTGCTGGTCCCCTAAAGTTTTTCTTTTTAAAACACAAATATTTAGTGGCATGTAAAGGACTTTGCATTGTAATAAAGCAAAATGGAATTTTACATTTATCGGATAAACAACTGAATAGGGATGTGATGTGATGTGTTCAGCTCTTCCTTGTCTTCTCAATCTCAGGAAAAGCTGATAGACTCGCTTAGTAAAAAAATTAATCAAGTGTACAGAGTCTGCATTGGAGACGCTGAGGTTGGCAGCCTCAACGCAGTTCAAAAGCTGGTGAAAGTAGAGTCTCGCTTGGTGGAGCTCAGTGACCTCATTGAATCCATTCCCAAAGAAACTGTGGAGGTGATTGAGAGGATAAAACAGAAAGAACGGCGGCAAAGGTACAGTGTCTTATCACACAAATGGAGTGAATGGCTTGAAGGGAGCTATTTCTGCTGGAATTCTGTAAACATTAAGCAAGTCCTGCTAGCCCTGTACAGGGACAGTGAGGAGGAACAAAACCCAGCCCTCCCTTCCTCATAGAGCTGTCATTTAGTGTGAGAGACACTTCATCAAATAGTCTTAGCCTATAAATGCCATTACTAGCTATAATGAGTGCCAAGAAGGAACACTAAATAAATAGAGTTCAATAGGGCAGCTGACCTAGTTTGGGACAGGCGCGAGGGGGTTCTTTTCACTTGGAGAAATGAATCTTCAGGTGAACACACTAATTACACAATAATTTTTGAAGAGCTATTATGTAGAAGGACCCAAGGCATAGAATGAGGAGCGCTTCGTTGGAAACCTACAAGGAGGCTCAGTATATGGAGCTGTGTGAGTCAGCGCTACACGATCAGCACGTAACTGCCAGCACTTAGTGACTCATTTGTTCCTCAGGAAAACCTCGTGAAGGTTACCATGCTTGGAACCCCACTCCCTACCCCTTCATCCTTGCCTAGCTGGGGGCTTTTCTGGAGAATGTACTGATTCACAAGTTTCCACACTGAGTTAAAGAAGGATTCTTATGTGCATACTACATTTAAGGCTGTGATTATTAAAAATACAACATGGGCCAGCAGGTGGTGTGGTAGTTAAGATGTTGGACTTCCACATGTCCGACCACAGTTCAAGTCCCAGATGTCTCAAAGATCACTCTAGGCACGTGTGCATGCATCCGTGCCCAAAATCTTGAGAAGACAATGGAGGAGAAGGAATTGTGGCATGGCCATCCTCCCTGGGGGATAATTTCTCTTTTCCACTCTCTGTCTCTCTCTGGAGTGAATATACCCCATGGCAAAAACCTAAATAAATACACACACACACACATACACATGCATATTAAATATATATATATATATATATATATATATAGAGAGAGAGAGAGAGAGAGAGAGAGATTGACTGACTCCTGGTATTATGTGGCACATGGGGAATGTTCATCAGTGGGGAAATGTTCATGTTGTAGCGAAAACCATGTTGAGAAGCTGACTAGAACTATGGCTACCAGCATGGGAATGAGAGTCTGCCTGCCTGGATTCAACTACTTTAAAAATTAATAATCTTAGGCAGGCACCTAACCTCTTAAGACTCAGTTTTTAAAATCTGTATAATAGCAGTAATAATGGTACTTATCTCATAGAATTGTGAAGATTAAATATGGAAAAGCATGAAAGTATGCTTGGTACATAGTAAGTACTTAAAGATTAGCAATTACTATTAGATATTTTGTTATTGCTTACTATATTGCTAGTGCCCAGGGTGTATTACTTCCCCCATATAAAAATAAAGCCCAGGAACCAGCAGTTGGCTCAATGGCTATGTTGCTGGACTCCCATGTAGTCAACTACAGTTCAAGTCCCAGACCCGGTGGCTGGTTTAAAACCCAGGCCGGGCGCATGCGTGTGCATGCCCGAAATCCTGAGAGGAGAACAGGGGAGAAGGGACTGCGGTGTGGCCATCCCCCCTGGAGGGGTGATTTTTCGCTTTCTGTCTCTCTGTCTCTCTTTCTTGTGAGCACAAGCACCCTATAACAAAAACCTCTCCAAAAATAAAAATAGAGCCCAAAATACATTAAGGTGATCCTCTAATGGAATCTTATTGAATATAAAACAAACTTAAAAGATTACTTCTGGGGACCAAGAGCTGGCATGGTGGTTAAAGCATTGGACTCCCACATGGCTGACAATAGTTTGAGTACCAGACCGGATGTCTGCCTCCCGGGGGGACGGCCACGCCACAATCCCTTCTCCTCCATTCTCCTTTCGGGATCCTGGGCATGCACACACATTTGCCCAGCTTGAGTTTAAGCCTCTGGATCTGGGACTGGAACCATGGTCGACTACATGGGAGTCCAGTAGCATAGCCATTATGCTAACTGCTGGTCCCTTTTTTTAAAAAGAATTTTTTGCTTTAGGGCACATGCACTTGCCTGAGAAAGAGACAGTGAGAGGGAAAGAAAAAATCACCCCCAGGGGGTCTGACTAGCTGTAATCTCTTCTCCTCCATTCTCCTCCCAGGATCTTGGGCACACATACACACATGCCCAGCATGATTGTCAAGCTGCAGGGTCTGGGACTCGAATCATGGTGAGCTAAGTGGGAGTCCAGCAACATTAACTGCTATGCCTTCTGCTGGCCCCAAGATGACTTCTTCTATAGCATGACCTCACTATGCCTGACTGTACTGGCAGCTCGTGCATCTTTTCTTACAGCAGCAAATACACTCTCCACAAGTGTAATTACAACTTATTTTTAGCAGTAATACATAATTATTTTCATTCTTATTAAAAAGAGAATTGGGGTCAGCCAGTGGCATGGTGGTTAAGGCAGCTGGATCCCACGTGGCCAACTGCACTGTTGAAATCCCAGATTTAGTAGCTTGAGAAACACACCAGACATATATGCATGAGTGTGTGCCCCAAGTCCAAAAGGAAGAAGAAATGGAGAAGGGACTGCAGTGTGACCATACCCCATCCCACGGAGGGTGCTTTTTCACTTTCACTCTCTCTCCCCAGTGAGCACAGGTGCCTCCTCGCAAAATTTGGCCAACTGCACTGTTGAAATCCCAGATTTAGTAGCTTGAGAAACACACCAGACATATATGCATGAGTGTGTGCCCCAAGTCCAAAAGGAAGAAGAAATGGAGAAGGGACTGCAGTGTGACCATACCCCATCCCACGGAGGGTGCTTTTTCACTTTCACTCTCTCTCCCCAGTGAGCACAGGTGCCTCCTGGCAAAATTAAAGAAAGAATTTTATGGTTTTCTCCATATTTGGAGGCATCTAACAGCATCCAATTTTTGCATTAAATGTTATTTCCATTCCCTATAGATAACTTTATACCTAGGATATATATTTTTATGAACCTGTGTATTTTACCTAGGTCCATAAAATAGCTATCACTTACCGAGTGCCTATTCTGTGCCAAGTCTTGTACCAGATGGTTTGCATGTGTTACCTCATTTCATTTCCCCCACCCCCGCAACCTTAAAGAGAATAAGTAGCGCTTTTTGGCCTTAGTTTGAGATAGTATTCAAAGATTAATTGGAAAGTACACCATTGTGATTTTTATACTTTTCTGAACATGCTATACTTCAATAAAGAAGGTTTTTGTTTGTTTGTTTGTTTTGGAGAGGTTTTCGCTATAGGGCGCATGCGCTCACCGGACAGACAGAGAGAGACATAGAGACAGAAAGCGAGAAATCCCCCCCCCCAGGGGGGATGGTCACGCCGCAATCCCTTCTCCTCCATTCTCCTCCATTCTCCTCTCGGGATCTTGGGCACGCACACACACGCACCCGGCTTGAGTTTAAGCCACTGGGACCAGGACGCGAACCACGGTCGACTACGTGGGAGTCCAGCGACATAACCATTACGCCAACTGCTGGTTCCCAATAAAGAAGATTTTTAAAGGGGAGAAAATAGTTGGAAGTTTACTCAAGTGGCCATTGTACAGACTAGCTGTCAAGTGCTGAAATACGGGTTGTCGGGAAAGTCATGATGCGTTTTTGTATGGGAAAATAAAGTCGTGACTTCCCCAACAACCTAATATATAGACTTGCCCTCATTTTAAACCAAGACCTGGGCTAGCAGATGGTGTGGTAGTTGAGGTGCTGGATCCCACATGGCTGACCATGGTTCAAGCTCCGGACCTGGCAGCTTGGAAATCACCCTGGGCACATGTGGGTGTGTGCTCCAAATCCCAGGAGACTGGAGAAGAGATTGCAGTGTGGCTATCCTCCTGGGGAGGAGTGGGAAGATTTCTCACTCTCTGGCAAGCGCACATGCCCTGTGGCAAAATCCTAAAATAATACATAAATAAACCAAGTCCCGGGTAGATTTTGTTTCTTCTAGGATAAAAAGGATTTATTGTTAGGTTTACCTAAATATTCAAAAGCTGTTCAGAATAAAGATGTAGTGTCACTTTCACCGAACCTTAGAGGAAGCCTTTTATTTTATTTAATGAACATTACTGTTCATTACCAAACAGTAATGAGTACATCTTTCTTTGTTTTCCATGATTTATGGTTACAAGAATGCCTCTCCCTTCTTTGCCAGGTTGCGTGAAGAAAAAATGAAGGAAAAACAAAAACATCAGGAGGAAAGGCTAAAAGCTGCTCTGGAAAGAGCAGTAGCACAACCAAAGAGAAAGGTTTGTGTTTCACTGTTAACGGGTCCTGATGTAATACAGGAGTTTTGTGGCACAGAAATTATACCCTGCAGCCACTCCTCACTAACCACCTACCCGTTCAACTGCTCGGACTGAAGCTCTCTGGCGCAGGGAATCCCCTTCCTCAGTCTGTCTCGTTCTCACAGTCGGTTAGCATCCACTACACAAAGCACTTGCAATCACCTAAGACTACGTATTTTGTTTATATACTTGCATTTTATTGCTCATTCAGAATAAACAGAAATGATTACGCTGGTTTTATATTACTGAATTGTGGTGTGTCTTGTCACTTTCTGGCACTCACCTAATATGTATGCTCTTTGTATGGATAAAATTACATCATCCTGGGGCTGGCAGGAATAGTGGTGCTTAGTGTAATGAACTCCCACATGGTTGACTGAGGTTCGAATCCCAGGCCTGACAGCTAGCTTTCTCACTTTCCTTCTCTGTCTCTCTCTGGTAAAATCAAAATTAATAAAATTAAATATTCTTTTTTGTAAAAATAACATTCAATAGTACGGTGTCACATAACAGCTACTGAAAAATACATCAGCACCACCACACACATTCACCTTTAAGCTCCCTGCTTCTCACCAATTGGATTAACTACTCATAGGAATGGAATTTAGTTGAGTGAATGAGTATTCATCTAACTTGCCCAGGTTGACCTCAAAATTCTCTCGTAAAAGTCTCTTGCTCGCAGCTTCAACTGGGCTCTCAGGTTCCATGTTACTCTTAGAATCAGTAAAATTGTTAGATCTACAATTAATTCTATTTAATCTTTCTGGTAAAAGAAGCCTCCTTTCTCTCCTTTCTCCTTAGTCCTAGGTTCATGAAACCAGAGATTCTTAGTTTTTGCTGTGGGGTGTTTATACTCAGGAGAGAGAGAGGAGAGAAAAAATGAGCTATCATCCCTAGGGAGACGGCCACCCCACAGTTCCTTCTTCTCCACCTTCCTTCCGGGATCTTGAACATGGACGCACATGTGCTGGTGTGACTTTTCAAGCTGCAGGTCCAGGACTTGTAGATGGCCACACAGAATCCAGCGCTTTACACCTCTACACCATCTGCTGGCCCAAGAGTCTTCTTCTTAGTTTTTTTGAATAGACGATAGAGTAAATGGTTCAAAGTTGAAAATGTACAAAAGCATTCAGTGAAGTCAATCTTCCTGTCTCCCCCACACCCTATATCCTCTCCCCACCACTGCTGAGTTTCATCTGCATCCTTCTGGACATACTCTCTTTTAGATAGTGAACCCAGAGAATTACACATTCGAGGAGACTGGAAGGGTCTTCTAACTCTCACACTCTAAAGATAACAAAAGAATGTTTATCTAGTTCAATTCAATTCTTCCTATGAAATTTCCTCATCTATCCTCTCTTCCCAAGAGACCATTCATCCCTTCCTCATGCACATCCTACTTCTAATAAAGCCATCAAACTGAAAAAAGTTTTTTTGTTAGGTTTTTGCCATAGAGCATAGGCGCTCACCAGAGAGAGAAGGAAAGTGAGAAATCACTGCCCAAGGCAGATAGCCACACCACAATCCCCTCTCCTGTTTTCCTCCTGGGACTTTGGGCACACATGCACGTGCACCCAATATGACTTTTACGCTGCCAGGCCCAGGACTTGAACCTTGGATGGTAATGTGGGAATGCAGCACTGTAACCACCTCGTGCCACCTGCTGGCCCTGAAATTTTTTTTTTTTTTTTGAGGTTTTTGCTATAGGGCACGTGCGCTCGCCAGAGACAGAGATAGAAAGTGAGAAATCACTCCCCAGGGGGGATGGCCATGCCGCAATCCCTTCTCCTCCATTCTCTTCTTGGGCTCTTGGGCATGCACACACAAGCTCCCAGTGAGTTTAAGGCACCAGGTCCGGGACTTGAACCACAGTTGACTACATGGGAGTCCAGCGGCATAGCCATTATGCTAACTGCTGATCCCCCCTGAACATTGCTTTTTAATATATCCATCATTCCTTCTGAAAGTCTTGTGACTTGTGTATCCCTAATGTCTGGAACATAGTGGCACCCAGTAAGTGCTTATTAAAACTGCAACTAAGAATGAAAATGAAAAAACAAACAAGAAAACAGTAATCTGATCAGTCAACAACATACAAAGACTTCTGGTAAAGTTTACTCAAGACACGTCACTGGCAATTTTCTCAAACAGCTTTAATAACAAAATTTATCAAAGTCTGGACATTTACAAAAAACTGACATTATAAGAGGAATTCAGGGGGGCTGGCAGATGGCATGGTGGTTAAGGACACTGGACTCCCACATGGCTGACCACAGTTCGATTCCCAGACCTGGCGGCTTGCTTTCTCAATCCCCCCCGCCCCGACCCTTCTCTCTCTGTCCCTCTCTGGTCAAATTAAAATAAGTAAATTAATTTAAAAATAATCAAGAAAAGGAATTCAGGGATTCTAGTCCCCCAAGGACAACTCTGTTGTAATGATGGGAATGTTACTGTTTTAACTTCTCTGGGGCCAGGAATGTCAAGTATTCAGCAACAGAGCTAAGCCTCACATGAGAATTACCTTGTTTCAAATGCCAATAGTATGTGCCCCTAATAAGACACAGGCATGTCTTTGTGAAATCTATTTGCACCAGTTATTTATTTAAATCTCCCCACCTTCTGTTAAAACTTAACTGCTCTGTCTTCTGTATGAGTGCTCAATTTGCTACTTTGCCTAGAATGCTGGACATCCATTGGATTATCAATTCCTCTGTAATTGTGATTTTTTTCTTTTCGCTTTCATTTGAATGTGAGAGAGACAGAAAGAGAGGAGCCAGGGACCCTTGACAGGGTCTTACCAGGTCATGATACTCCCCCTAACCAGCCACAATCACGGTTGACCCAGAATCCGAACCCTGGTCCCTCCTCATATGGCTCCAGTATTACACAGTGGTATCCTATCACCTACATCACTCTAGCAAGGCCTGCAACTATGACTCTTTAATATTTTAAGCCATATAATTCCTTGTAAACCTAAGTTAACATTGCTTTTTTACATAATGCAATAGAAAATGGTCATATCAAAGAATATTAAGTATTGTTTTTCTTTTGTTGCAGTTGGGGAGACGACTTATCTATCGGTCAAAGCCTCCATCTGGTAACAAACATGAAGTACTTTTAGTCAGTGACCCAAGAACAAAAACACAAGAGGAAGAATATTTTTTTACTTGAATAGCAGTAGTAAGACATTATATTACCAGAATGTTTTAGGTATATTTTGTAGATTTTGGCTCTCAGTAATGGCAATATTCTGCCCCAGCTACCAAACTAACTAATTTGAGTCAAGCCTTATTCTAATGGCTATAGGATTGGGAATGAGAGTTATTTACTTTTATTGAAGACTTCAAAAAAAATTATATCAAGTATTATTCTATAGTTAAAACATTTGTATCTATACTTTGAGTTGTCCCAGTTGGGGATAAATATCCAAAGTTAGGGTATTGACATAACTAACTACATGGTGAATAGCCACCAAAGGTTAAAAATGGCCATTCTCTGACATGAGAATTTAAATGATATATTTTCTCAGTCTAGAGGGAAGTTTACAGCATATTGTTACTGGTATGGACTAATGTCACTTTATGAGTGCACAACTCTAAAATATCTGAAAGGCTTTGAGGGGTTTAAAACTTAAGTGAAAACCACGAGAGTAAGATCACAGAAGACGAGTATGATCACCTTATCATTTTAAGGCTGGTTTTTATTCTATATTAAGTTATGTTCAGAAAACTTTATTCTTAAGTGAACGAACCAGATGTCTGCAACCTAAATGTCAGCCCACAATTTGTACGGTGCCCTAGTTCCACAATCACTTTAACTTTCTGATGATTTTCCTTGTCTCTACAATGTGTGCATTATTTAGCTGATTACAATTAACATGTAACTTACTGACCACTAAGTAAAATAATGCAGTATCTAACAACACTAAGAAAATGCTTAACTTTATACACGTTAAAAGTGGCTCAAAAAGAACTTTAAAAGTTTTGGTTTGTATCTAATTACAAGAAAAGAGCTGAAAATCACCTGCATAAAAATTTTCTAAAGCATATAAATATCTCTTATAGAAAAAAGGTAGAGTATTAGGCTTACAAAGAAAACCAATCTGAATGAAGTTGGGTGGCTCTTAAAGCATTCTTTTATGATTTCAACTGCTTCAATATCTGAGCTTTACATGTAAATATACACATGAATAGTTGACAAGTCAAACTGAAAAACAAACAAATCTTTATTGTCTAGAAATATATATAAAAAAACCCACAAAAGATGCTATTCTCTCATTTCCCCATCTTCTTCCTCTTCTTCAACACCTCTGATATAAAGGACATTATTACACCTGTAAATAGAAAAACAGCCCATTTACTGTCCCATCCAGAATCCATGTTTCCACATATGATTACCTCTAGATTATTATGGTATGAAAATATTGAATACTAAATTTACAATGTATCATTCTTTCTCTTCATAAAAGCTTTATACCGATTTGTTAAAAAGCACATGCCACTTATTTTCTTTTTAGGCTGTGGTTTTTATAACATGACATCTTCAAGAAGTCACAGAAAATGGTTGCATCTAAGAGTCAGAATATTTACTACCAATACTAAACAAAAATCTTAAGTATAAATAGCTCCAAACCCTGAAATCTTAACTTTGACATGTTTAACAATTTCGAAGACTTTTAAAGTTAGTTGTACAGTATTATGTTAAATTTATAATGCTTAAAAAATTATTCCAAAATTGAGGCACTAATTTATTTGTGCAGATATTTCTAATGCTCACCAGTAACACCTTACATAAACTATTGCTATTGTTACCTCATTAAAACTCCTTATATAAACTGTTGTTTGTTACCTTATTAAAACTTCACCCAGATGTCCAGACAATGCACCATCTATGTATTCTTCTGTATTTGCAAGCTTTGAATAAAAAGCAATATATTAGTACAAGTGCTCAGGAGGAAAACAGTGTAACATACCTAACACTGGTGAGAGAACTTATTAACTAAGACCTTTCTATACTAACTCAAATTGTAGTACTTTTTTGTTTCATATATTCAGTAAATTTAACATTCATGAATGTAAAACTATTATATAATAAAGCTTGTTTCAACATACATGCTTAAATCTCCTATGTTACGTAAGATTTTTTTTTTTTCTGTAAGATATCAAAAGTATATCAAGGAAAGCAGTCTCCAATTCACAAGTAAGAGATTAAAAGTTTTCTGCAGGGACCAGCAGACTGCATAATAGTTACGTTGCTGGACTCCCACAGTAAACTGTCTTTGAGTCTTGGACCTGGTAGCTTAAACTTATGCTGGACACATGTGCATGCATGCCCCAAATCCTGAGAGAATGGTGGAAAAGGGATTGAAGCATGGCCATCCCCTCTGGGGG